ACGGCTCTGGGAATACTTGGTTGTGGGAATAACCACATTTGGAAGTTGTCATTTTCATTGCCTTTCAGAGGCTGGTTGCAGTGAAATTAGCAATTAAGTTCTGTAAGTTGAGTTGTATTTAGAGTGGGAGGGTGGAAAATTGGAAAATTTAAATTTTATAAGGAAAAGCATTCTAGGAATTATTGACATGTATCTAGTAATGTAAACAGGTGTGAATGTTATTTGTATAAAAGGTAATGGAAATTATAAAGGTATCGCAGGGTTCAAGCCATCTTGCCCTAGAATGCCCTAGAATGCTCCTCATTTGTGTTTCGCGTTGTCTTCGGGGATTTTGTGTAGCTCTGGAACTGTTGAGGGGTTCTCACAGTCAGTGGCTAAAGTAAAAAAAAATTGTTCTCTGATCTTTCCCGGAACATTTGCCGCCCCCACTCTAGCATGAAGTGTGCTTTTCTTTTGTTTTCTTACTCTAGTTAAAAAGGAGGGTACAATTTCTTGGCAGTGGCAAGGGAATTTGAGACCTAAGAATGGATCATCTGCTCAATTATCAGGCGCGTTCTCCACAGCCTGTCTTTCCTTTGCTGCAAGTACTTTCAGGTGAACCTGAAAGATTGGCTACTAAGGCTGACAAGTTCTTTCTGTGTGGCGTTCTTGGACAGTATCGGTCCCCAAACTGCAGCCTGTATTTAAATATTTGATATGGGGTCTGGGCCCTTGTTACAAAAAAGCCGTAGATGAACCAGATGTGATGAGTTGTATGAAACACAGGTAAGTGTTGACGTCATGGGCTGAGTTGTTTCTCAGGTAATTTTTAAACGTGAGTAGTGGTATGTATGCTACTTGGTTCAGAAAGATTCAGTGTTACAGGAGAGGTAATACATAGTGATTATAGACCGGTAGTAGTATTGCTTAGGAATGCTGTGAGCCATTGGTGGTGTTAAACTGGCAGATTTTTCTTAGTATTTTAAGTATTTGTTGAGTACCTGCTGTCTCAGGCAGTCTGGAAGGTGATAAAAGATGGTTGTGATTTGGTCTCACCCACCAGCAGTAGGAGTGGACAGAATCAGATGCAAAAATCTGTGAGTCGCAGTTGCCGTGTGAGAGCCTAAAGCACAGAGCCAGAGGGGACACCCAGTCCGGCAGGGGAGAGAGGCTCACGCAGACAGGGAGATGGTGATTATTAGAGAGGTTTTGAGTTTCCTGGTGCTGAGGTGGACAGGGGCAGCAGCCACTGCAAACCCGCTTCTGCCTCTCCCCCGGGTTCTGGCCTTCGCCAGCTTATCCCACACTGCTTTCCTCTGGCCCGTGCAGGTGTCAGCGGCAACTGGATCGAGATCGCCTACGGCACGAGCTCGGGGGCCGTGCGCGTGATTGTGCAGCACCCGGAGACTGTGGGGTCCGGCCCCCAGCTGTTCCAGACGTTCACCGTGCACCGCAGCCCAGTGACGAAGATCATGCTGTCGGAGAAGCACCTTGTGTCAGGTGAGCATCTGCCGAGGGCGGTACCCAGCCAGGCATGTTGTTAAGACTCCAGAAGCAGTTTCTATGTGAGAAGAATATTAAATGTTGAGTAGCAAGAAGTGATTAGGGGACAAGAATAACAGTTCTTGGTATTCAAAGTGTTGGTTTTGCTGGTCCTCGCGTAACGCACACAGGAGGCATCACCTTGTGCTCTGTTCTGTCTTGTCCTAATGGCGTACTTTATCTCAGAACGCCATAGTCTGGCTAAATTTCTTGGCTAGAAAACTTTTCTGTGTTAGAGAACTTTCCAGGTATGAATTTAGTATAAATTTGGTTGCCTTAAGGTTTAATATCTTTAAGGTTTGACGTTTGATCCTCTTCTAAGAATATTAAGTTTCAGGAGAGTTGTGCAGATTTGAAGTAAACATTTTTATGGCTTTTTTGTTCCTCATAGCCCTAAGATTTAAAATTTATATATGAAGTAAAAATAGAACTAGATTTTCAAGCTTACAAGCACGACAAAGTAAAATGGTCCCTAAGTAAAATTCCTCTAATGAGGATCATCATCGACAGGTGATTTCAGAAAGACTTTGTGAACATTGAACCAGAAGTCAGGTATATCCTTAGAGCTCGCCTTTGAACGCAGTCTTCCATTAACTGTTGTAGGTCAGTTCTTTTCTAGCTGAAATTTTATCAGGTTTGTTTATATGAAGAGTCCCAACATTAAAAAGTGATGTTTCTTTTCACTGTTGTCCAGTCTGAATATCAAATGGAGGCAGAATACCTTGTCCGTGAGCAGTGGTAGAATGGGTGTCTGCGCCTTTATTGAGAGTCTAAATGTTTTCTGAATAGGATTCTGCTTCCCTACTGAGGCGTCCTTCACTCCCAGTACCAGCTTCCTCCCCTTTTTTACTGTTGCTCAGTCCTGTCCCTGTGGGACTGTGACTGTGTCCCTCCACCTGGAAGCAGCTGCAGGTCCAGATTATAGAGTCAACCTATGCATCTGCTTGTGTGTCACAGCCCCTCAGCCTAACGGACAATCTGAGGCGTCGGAGTTCTCCCAAGCCTTCTCAGTGTGCACCTCGCCATCCCCCACTTATTCACACCGAAATGTGTAGGCTTCACCTTGGCCTGCCCTCAACTGGCCCTTTCTCTCCCCGCACCCAGCTGTGCTCGGTCAGTAAGTCCTTTCAGCTAGCCCTTGCACGTATTGTTGCCAGCCTGTTGAAGCCCTTTTCGCCCCTACATTCCTGGGAGTCCCAGTCCATTCCTGATCTTGCCTCACTACATGTTCCAAACTGCAATCAGAAATAGCTTTTAAAAATGCAAGTCAGATTTGAATTCCAGGTCGTTTTTTCTCTTCATCCCACTTTCCTTACTGCCTCAGACACGAACTTTTCCACTTCTTAAAAATGCCTCAGAACTTGTGCACTAGTTCTTTGTTTGAAATGTTTTGCGTCTAGATGCCGTTTTTCAAATATTTTCTCAGTGAAACTTTTGGTTACCAGCCAAATCTCTGGTCAGTTTCTATCAGTGTCCCTATTTGATTTTTTCATAGACTTTATCACTTGATTAATGGCTCCCTCTTCTAGCATGTAAGTACTACTTTAGCAGAACTTTCTACTATAAAGTTCCACGAGTAAATGTGTACATGAAGTAATTTTATCCATTGAGAGAGTAGACCATTTTGTGGGGTTGTTGTGATATATTTAAATGACAGTGCTTGGACATCCTTGCTGGCAGTATTTCAGTGGCGTGTTATCGTAGGACGTGATATCATAAGCACTTAGTAAAATTTCCACTTCAACATCAAGAACCCTGCCCAGCTTATTAGCCAGAGCTCTGAAGCATTTTATATTGATTTAGTGTCACTCTGCCACCTAGTGGGCATCAACATATTGCTGAAATGACATCCACATTCTTAGACATGTGATACGACATCTAGTACTTTATATCCTCAGCATTGGTCAGAAGTAACTTTAGAAAACATTTTTGAGGAGTTCAAAATTTATTATGATTTTGGGAAACAGCAATAAATGGCAAAGTATTTTATTAAGACACACCATAAGTGTACAATTCTTTTTAATAAGTTAGTTTTTAGTCTGAGTAGAAACGGCATTAAAAAACAGACGGACATGTCTCAGCACATACCCAGTTAATAGTACATGCATGACAACCAAAATGAATTTAAAGTATATAATACACAAAATTTGCTCAAACGCACAATGTGTCAGTGCTAAATTATCACAGCATTTTGATTTTCCTAAATGTACTGACAAGCTATTTTTACTAACTCCTAAGTGGCTTAATATTTGAGTAGGGGAAGTGATAGGAAGAAATAAACTGGGCAGCTTTGTTCAGTCACAGGAGAGGGTCATATTCAGCATCTTCTCTTACACTTTAGCCTTTCCTTACTTATAACCTGCAGGTTGCATTAGAAGGATTCATAGATTTACTTTCATGCCTGATACTGGCCACAAGGTAAACCATATTCAGGCCTCAGTTTCTCTGGTTATCAGTTTTGTATCAGTGACATTTGCCACTCGGTGGGCTCTGCTCTGTTTAAAATGGATCATACAGAAAAGTTCGCAGAACTGACTTTGCTGTGCTCTAACGATCTGTGTCTGACAGCTCCTTTCCCTCCTAGTCTGTGCAGATAACAATCATGTCCGCACATGGACAGTCACACGATTCCGGGGAATGATCTCTACTCAGCCAGGGTCTACGCCTCTAGCGTCGTTCAAGATACTTTCTCTGGAGGAGACGGAGACTCACGGAAGCTATTCCTCTGGAAATGATATTGGTGAGTTGACCATTCAGGCACAGATTCAGATGCTGCCCTTCTGCGTTGCTCACACAGTGGCTAGTAAAATTAACAAGTTTTGAAATACAAACTTTCATTTCACTTTCAAACTCATTTAAAGCAAGTTCAGTGAATTTTTCTGATTAAATTCTATAAATTAAAAAAATGGGATTACAGTAGCAATGCTAATGAGCACTTACATTAACAGCTGTTATAGCTGCACACATTGGATTTTTATTTTTATTTATGCATACAGAACTGAGGTACAGGGGCAGTGGGAGGACTCACCAGAGATGCTGTGGGGAGCAGCGGGCAGGACAGGAGAGGTCTGTGGGTTACCTCTGGGGCCGGGGGTCAAACTTGCCCTGAAGTGGCTGCAGCCAGTTTGCAGTGCTGCACTTTAACCTGCTGCACCACCAGGGAGGGCCTGGAATTTTATTTTTAGATTAGCAGTAAAATTTAAAATTTGTGGTTAGGAGGTGGCTGGTGCTTATTTAGCATCCGGGGGGAGCAACGTATCACATTCCCTCAGAAATGCTTGTGTGTGTGCAGCTGACTGCGATGTCATGTTCAGGTACTGGTGAGACACTCGCCTCTCCCCCAGATTACTCTCAAGAGCATTTACAATAGCTATATTGTGTGCACATAACTAATGTACATTTTAGGTCATTTTGTATAATTTCTAAGGGCCGGTAGTATATCAGAATTGTTTCACACCGATCCTGTTTATGTCCAACCAGAATATGCTCCCATAGTAAAGATTGTAAAGCTTATGGTTGAAAAAAATCGGGACGACTTAGTACAATTTTCAGCAAAATGCTGTGTGACTCTTAAGATTGATTTTTTATGCATAATACAGAACTGGGGTACAAGCTAGAGTTGCAGAGGTGGTGAGAAGATTCACCGGAGACAGAGTGGGGAGCAAAACAGGCAGACTGCTGAGGGGAGCAGCGGGCAGGTCAGGAGAGGTCTGCCACGCTATGTGGGTCGCCTTTGGGGCGGGGATTTGAACTCATGCAGAAGTGGCTTTAGCTTCTTAGTGCTGTGCTTTAACCTACTGTGCCACCAGGGAGGGCTTGGGTGACTCAGTTTGAAGTGTTTTGTGATACCCAGTTCCCTGCTTGATGGTAGGCTGTGAAAGTTCAATTTGAATTTTTTTTCCAGCTTTACTGAGATGTAAATAAAAGCGATGCACAGGCTATGGTAGAGGATGAACAAGCTCTCCCTGGCAGCGTGTGCACCGTGGCCTAGAGTAGGTGGGAGTGGAAGGGAGATGGCTGTCTCCCATGGTGCGCGGACAACAGGGTGCCAAACGGCTGGGTGCAGCACCCCAGGTTTACGGGTAATATCCCCACTTAGCAAGGATGCAAATCCATGTTGACATGGAACACTTTACAGAGATCTGAATGTTTGAACTGAGATGTTCAGAATTTACTCGCAGATAAGATGATGTTAACAGGGCAGAAGAGAATCAGGCAAGTTTGGGGAAGGTTATGTTGAAATTAATTATTGACTTCAAAAACCTTCACTTGAAATGCAATGTGATTAACAGCCATGAGTTGTTTATTCATACAGAACTGGGGTACAGACCAGAGATGTGGAGGGTGAGAGAATTCACCAGGGACAGTGGGGAGCAGAACAGGCAGATAAGATGAAGTACACTGCTGAGGGGAGCAGCAGGTGGCCCAGGAGAGTTCTGCCATGCCACGTGGATCTCCTCCGTGGCAGGTGGGGATGGAACTCATGCAGAAGTGGCTTAAGCTTCTTAGTGCTTTAGCCCGCTGCGCCACCAGGGAGGGCCGAGTTTATTTTATTTAAATTCGTTTTGTGAAATGATGTTTAATCTTGATGAACTTCTTGATATTTTCTGTCCAAGGACCTTTTGGAGAGAGAGATGATCAACAGGTGTTTATCCAGAAAGTTGTTCCCATCACTAACAAGCTGTTTGTAAGACTTTCCTCCACTGGAAAAAGGTACCAAATCACTATACACATACATTTTTATTCAGAAGTTTGCAAGTTTTGTATAGGAGCAAATACAGAGATGGGTAGGGAAGAGGGAGTGTGAGAGATAGGAGTGAGGAACAGAGACGAGAGATACGGAGATGAGGGAGCAAGAAACAGGAGAGAGATAGAGGAGATGAAGAGAGATGAGAGCTATGCAGATGAGACGAGGGAGGGAGAGACAGAGGAGGAGATGAGGGAGCTATGCAGATGAGAGATGGGAGGGGGGAGGGGAAGAGAGGAGAGTGATGAGAGATAGGGGAGATGAGGGAGGAAGAGACAGGAGAGAGACGAGCGCTATGGAGATGAGAGAGATGAGAGATTGGAGAGACGAGAGCTAGGAGAGACGAGGGAGGAAGAGACAGGAGAGAGAGGAGAGATAGAGGAGGAGAGACGTGAGCTATGGAGATGAGAGAGACGAGAGCTAGGAGAGACGAGGGAGAAGAGAGACGAGAGCGAGAGGAGGTGAGAGACAGAGATTGGAGAGACAAGGGAGGAAGAGATAGGAGAGAGACAAGAGCTATGGAGATGAGGGAGACGAGAGATAGAGGAGAAGAGAGATGAAAGCTATGGAGATGAGATGAGAGATTGGAGAGACAAGAGGGAGGATGAGACAGGAGAGAGAGAGACACGAGAGCTAAGAGAGACAAGAGTTAGGAGAGACAGGAGAAAGACGAGAGATAGAGGAGAGACGAGGGAGAGGGAGGAAGACAGGAGAAAGACGAGAGCTAGGAGAGACAAGGGAGGAAGAGACAGAGACGAGAGCTATGGAGATGAGAGATTGGAGAGACAAGGGAAGAAGAGACAGGAGAGAGATGAGAGATAGAGGAGGAGAGACGAGAGCTATGGAGATGATTAGAAAGACGAGAGATAGAGGAGAGGTGAGGGAGAGACAGGAGAAAGACGAGAGCTATGGAGATGAGAGAGACAAGAGATAGGAGAGAGATGAGAGATTGGAGAGATAGGAGACACGAGGGAGGATGAGACAGGAAGGAGACGAGAGATAGGAGGAGAGAGACAAAGATTGGAGAGACAGGAGAGAGAGGAGAGATAGAGGAGGAGAGACGTGAGCTATGGAGATGAGAGAGTGGAGAGACAAGCGATAGGAGAGACGAGAGAGAGATGAGGGAGGATGAGACAGGAGAGAGACGAGAGTTAGGAGAGACAGGAGAAAGACGAGAGAGACGTGAGCTATGGAGATATGAGAGATTGGAGAGACGACAGATAGATGAGAGATAGGAGAGATAGAGGAGAGATGAGGGAGGGAGAGAGGAGAAATAGAGGAGGAGAGACGTGAGCTATGGAGATGAGAGACAAGCGATAGGAAGATGAGGAAGAGACAGGAGACGAGAGATAGAGGCGGAGAGACGTGAGCTATGGAGATGAGGGAGGGAGAGAGACGAGCTAGGAGAGACGAGGGAGGAAGAGACAGGAGAGAGATGAGAGAGACGAGGGAGGGAGAGAGACGAGAGCTAGGAAAGACGAGAGAGAGAGAGAGAGAGAGAGAGAGAGAGAGGGGGAGGAGAGACATGAGCTATGGAGATGAGAGAGATGAGAGACAAGCGATAGGAAGATGAGGAAGAGACAGGAGAGATAGAGGAGGAGAGCTATGGAGATGAGAGATGAGGGAGGGAGAGAGATGAGAGAGAGGAGGTGAGAGACAAGAGATAGGAGAGACGAGAGCTATGGAGATGAGGGAGATGGGAGGATGAGACAGGAGAAAGACGAGAGATAGAGGAGAGACAAGGAAGAGACAGGAGAGAGACGAAAGCTATGGAGATGAGAGATTGGAGAGACAAGCGATAGGAGAGACGAGGGAGGAAGAGACAGGAGAGAGACGAGAGCTATGGAGATGAGAGACGAGAGCTAGGAGAGACAGGAGAAAGACAAGCGATAGGAGAGACGAGGGAGGATGACACAGGAGAGAGACAAGAGCTAGGAGAGACAGGAGAAAGACGAGAGAGAGACGAGAGCTAGGAGAGACAAGGGAGGAAGAGACAGAGACGAGAGCTATGGAGATGAGAGATTGGAGAGACGAGGGAGGATGAGACAGGAAAGAGACGAGAGATAGAGGAGGAGAGAGACAGAGATTGGAGAGACGAGAGAGAGGAGAGATGGAGGAGAGACGTGAGCTATGGAGATGAGAGAGATGAGAGACTGGAGAGACAAGCAATAGGAGAGACGTGAGACGAGCGAGGAAGAGACAGACGAGAGCTATGGAGATGATTAGAGAGACGAGAGCTAGAGTAGAGACGAGGGAAGAGACAGGAGAAAGACGAGAGATAGAGGAGAGGTGAGGGAGAGATAGGAGAGAGATAGGAGACACGAGGGAGGATGAGACAGGAAAGAGACGAGAGATAGAGGAGGAGAGACGTGAGCTATGGAGATGAGAGATGGGGAGGATGAGACAGGAGAGAGATAGAGGAGAGACGAGGGAGGATGAGACA